CGTGAGCCAGGTGCGCGCACGGCCAGTGCACGACCGACCAGGTGAGCACGCGCCCGGGTCCTCCACGGAACCCCGTGAGCCCCGCGTCCAGCCTCTCTAGCATCTTGGACGGAGTAGGGTCGCGGGACTCAGTCAGCCAGTGGGCAGAATGGGTCGAAGCGGAAAAGGAAGCCGGCTGATGGTTCAGGTCGCGGGCCTGGGCACAGCTGCGTCTTCCAGGGCTGGGGTCAGGAGGTCAGAAAGGACCTCCTCCTACCGAGTGCGTTCATAGGGTTAGCCTTAAAATTGTCATGCTAATAAGATAAAGTGTGTGGGAGGGGCGGGAGAGCGGTTATTTGATTAGTGCTGAACATTAATCATTTTCTTGGGGACCTTGGCTAAACCGTTTATTTTGTAAGTAGTGGTGAGCCTGGGTCTGTGCCCCTGAGTTTTGAGGAGCAGCGTGGGTAAATGGGGAGGAATACCACCACTTCAGGAGGTATTTTAAGATTGAAAGTCAGTGGATGCTGAAGCAGTGAGAGGTTGGAAAGGGAAAGCAAAGAACAGAAAGACGGGAAAAGATATGGGAAGTAAAAAAAAAAAAAGAAAGAAAGAAACTGCGTGGATCCCACAGAGCCCAGTGGACCCCACAGGTCGGTGGGGTGCACAGATTGGGGTCAGAGCCCTGTCCGGGTTCACAGCTGTGTGTGTTTGGAGGGGGGAGCATGACCCTGAACAGATCATTGGAATCAGACAGAGAAGGTCTTCGGTTAAGAATCCATTAGTTATCACTGGAAGTTTAAGGTTATCGTGGTAGGCAACAAGTTTTCTTTTGACAAATGATCAAATAAGATACAAACATTTAATTGGGTTAGGAGATAAATTGTAAGGGGCTGTGATTTTCTATACACTGATGAACATTCAAAGAAGATTCTAGAAAAGCATTTAGTGAAAATAATTAGATTTTAAAATTAAGTGTTGCAAAACAGCACAATTATTCCTCTGTCTTAATACTGTATATAGCAGCAGCAGCACTCCAATTATACAGGGGTGGGGAAAGGAGGTTTATAGTTGTGAGTACACAAAGCAGAATTTATTCTTATATTACTATTTATTAATGTATTTATTTGTATTATAACTGTAAACCTACTTTTGCCTATCCCTGTATTTAAGTATATTTCAAGAATGTATCCATTTGTTTTAGATAGCTAACTACTAGTTTAAAATAAAAAGGAATATAAAATACTCTAATTAAGCTCAAAATCTATGCAAAAGTCTAATAAAATATTTGCCAAACCCTACACAAAGATGAGTGAAATAATAACTTAGCCAAGTTCAGCTACTTTTCAAAAGAAATATATTATGCTACCATGCTGCCATTTCGCCTGTTCTAGTATTTGGCGGTTGAGGGCAGTTTGTCATTGCATGGGAGCCCCCTGCCCCAGTCAGGCCAGGAACACCTGACTTTCCCAGGGTTCTCCTATGCACACCTGTAAAAATCCTATTCTTGTGTTTTAAGACTTGCCTATTTACTTGGTGTTTTAAAGAAGTTGGAATGGGGAGGAAAAGGCAGGCTGCATGTCCATGAGTCAGATATGGCAATAAGGCCTCAATTATTGGAGAGGGATTTTTAACTGAATGCGAAATAAGAAACTGAGGGGGAAGGTATGGTGACCCCATTTGCACTGTGTGCACTATTTCTTCCTAAATGGAGAGTTCAGAACAGGCAGTCAAGTTTACTTTTTTGTTTGTTAAATGTTTTTTTTAAAATATATTTTTATTGATTTTAGAGAGAGAGGAAGGGAGAGGGA